TTAAAGCTGACAGTCTGCAGTTAAAGCACATCTTGTTCGTTTCATTTCAAATCCATTGTGGTGGTGTATAGAGCCAAAAATGTTAGAATTGTGTCGATGTCCCAATATTTATGGACCTGACTGTATATATATACTCTGTGTGTATATATACTGTGTGTATATATATATATATATATATATATATATGTGTGTGTGTGTGTGTGTGTGTGATTTTGCAGTTCTGGGTAGGGGGAGCACGCATCCTATCTGCTCCACTATTCGCGGCCTTGGCTGTCAATCACTGGGTCCCGGCTGGTGATTACTCGCCAGCACCCGGTGCTCGCCAAGTATCTCCGACGGGGGAGAAACCTGTGTATAAACAACACAGATTAGTCCCCTGTAAGCTCCTGCACACAAGTAGTAAAACGGCACACAGTTAACCCCTTCCTGCCCAGTGCCATTAGTGCAGTGTCAGTGCTTTTTATTAGGGGGATGGCAGTGACACAGTGGTGTCACTGGGGATGTTAGTGACACCAAGTCAGTTCCCCCCAGTGTCAGAATTCCTGCCTATGTAAACCAATTAATTTACACGTATTGAGATTTTTTTTAGCAAAGACATAGCAGAATACATTTTGGCCTATGTTTATGATGAAATTTGATTTTTAACATTTTTTTACTGTACATGTCTAATAGCAAAAAGTCAAAAATATTGTTTTTTCTCAAAATTGTTGGTCTTTTTTTGTTTATAGTGCAAAAAAATGAATAAAGACACAGGTGATCAAATACCACCGAAAGAAAGATCTATTTGTGGGGAAAAAAAAGGACATAAATTTAATTTGGGTTGCATGACTTTGCAATTGTCAGTTAAAGTAATGCAGTGCTGTATTGCAAAAAAAAATGGCCTGGTCAGGAAGAGGGTTAAATCCTCTGGAGGGCAAGTGGTAAATGTATGGGTTGCTTTTTCTAAAATAAAACCTCAGTATTCAGGTTTAATTGCAGTGTTGGCAGTTTGCTATAAATAAGTGGATTTTGGGTTGCAGTTTGGGCACTTGATCTCTACAAGGTTTGCCATCACTGATCTAAAGTATATTTTAAATAAATAAATATATATATAGATATATATATTTATATCTATATATCTATATATATATATATATCTATATATATAGTTCTGTCTCTCCAATCTAAGCATTGAAAGTGTGATCTCTGTAACTTACAGTTGTGATAGCGATAACTCCAATCTTAGTTGAATTACCCAGGCAGTGACTCGATCCAGATGCCACCTTGTAGATCTTGTGAAGTTTATTCCATAAACTGAGAGAATCTTACAACAATGAACATCGGATAGGTCAAAAGATCATAATGTGATCTACTTCCATAAGACATGAGGCTAGAAGCTGAAGTGCATTACTGGGAAAAAGGGTGGGCTATCTATACAGCATGAACTAAACCAAAGGAATGGAAGGAGCAGAGACAAAATACAAAGAACACTTAAAGGCATATGACAGTCATTCGAAACATGACATATATATAAATAGATAGAAGTGATTACTTATACACTAACATAATTGATAACATTAACCTCCCTGGAGATATTCCTGAGTGTAGCTCAGGGTAAAGTTTCAGCACCACAAGCTGTAACCCCGAGCTACACTCGGGAATACCCTGCAGTGTTGCTCCGGGATCCCTTCTGCACTTACCTTGTCCTGCGCTCCCGCGATGTCCCCCCTGCAGTGTCCCCTGCCATCTCCTCCAGCTGATGCTGGCATCTGTCTTCCGGGTTCTGGTCCCTGCAAGCGTCGGGACGTACGGGGGCGTATCCGGCGGGAAATTTAAAAATGTCAAAAAGTGACATTCACAAAATACACTAAAATCACATAGTATAACATTACTGTATCAAACCATTTCACATATATTTTGTCCCGAGTGCTTTGTCCTTTGCCCTGCCTGCATTTTTACTGTTCTTTCTGCCTGGAAACTGAGAAACATCCATGGCGTCCAAAAGCATCCCTTTAGGTCAAAAGCGGTTTTAGATCAGCTAGAGAACAGCGATAGTAAATCAGAACCACTTGCAGAATTGAGTGATAATGATTCGTGGGGAAATTTGTCATCAGACACTGAAAACGATTCTGCGACTAAGCTCAGTGATGTGCAAACTTGGTGCTCTATTTAAAATTTCAGTGTTTTTGGTTTGATTACATTATTGAATTAAATTTATTATTATTATATTATTATCTTTTATGATTATTTATTATATTATAATTTATGATTTCGTGTTTCAAATTTTATCATACCCGGGATGTTTACTAGACTCTTGTTCGGACAGATTTTAGTGGAGTTATTCCTAAAAATTACTGGCCTACAATAAAAAAACAATATATTTCCATGCAAAAAAATGTACCGCTTTGAGCACAGAAATATGGACATAATCAGACCGCTAGGGAGGTTAAACGATTACTAAGTTTCTTGTAAATCAATAACTATTAAAAACCTACACTACAAACAGCCACTTATAGTCTCCTTTAGAAGCCCATGTGACAGAGTGACAACCCTAGAGCACACCCGGAAAAGAGGGACATAGCATTTTCACCCTATAACAGGAAGTGCCTGAAAAAAGACCTTCATGGTAGGATCACCAGGCATTATTTAACGAAAGCTGCCAAATAAAAAATATTGAAAATGACTTTTGAAATGACATTAACACGATAAAGCTTACAGAAGACTTTAGTGATTGGGTTTACATCTCCTTTAAAGTCGTTGTCCTTTAAACCTTCCAGTTCTTATTCTGTATTACCTGGCCTTAGAAAAGCACAAACCTGATGAGAGTGGGTATTTGGTGTCAACCCCCCTCCGCCAGTGACGAATGCTTTGATGGGATCACATCAGCATATGAAGTGGGAACATAATTACAGTCTCGGAATATAAGAACGTCCCATTGTGCCTCTCTCTCTGTTGTGAATTTCCTCTCTTCCAGCGATAAGATACGACGTTTCTTTGTTAATTCATCTCCAGTTAACAGCGCGGCGAGATAACAAGCAGGTTGATTGGAAAAACCTTATCTAGGTAGCAGCGCATGAAAGGGGAGCGGTAAAGCAATGTGACATAAATAATAGAGAAGAAAGAAGGCTGGGAGGGGACGGGAGAGGTGGACCATACATACAGATGGAGATTGCCTGCCGTATTGCCAAAATAGTTTAACCCTTTTTCTATGTTCTTCTGATGTATGGACTCCTTTATCTCCGCTCACTGTACCTCACCTTGGGATTAAAACTGTGCTTCACGAAAACATCTAAATACACAGATAAAATACATACATGGGAGCTGTCTTGTTACAGGATTTGTATTTCAGCCCTGCCAGCCCTGTGACCTGACTTTTCTCAGCTATATATAAAGAAACACAGCTAGGTCACCTCCCTGCCCCCAGCTTGTGAATGGACAGTGAAGGAGCAGTAAGGAACTGATGAGGTTGTCTCTCTGCTCTCTCCTCCAGTCAGCATGCCCTATGTAAGCACGTGTGAAGGTAGGATACCTAACTGGGCCCAAGTACTGCTCCTTCCTCAACCAATCTGAGTGCTGCTGTAAAGTGTGCCAGAAGAGGCTGAAATCAAATCAAACCTAGGTATTTTTGCTAATTTAAAATTAATTTAATGATTTGTGTTTTTAAATATCTCCCCAGATTTAAAGCGGAACTTGGTAGTTGCAAAAGATACAAATTAGCACAGCTCTGTAATCATTAATGCAGTAATAAAATTATACTAAAAGTTTATTTTTTAATAAAAAAGATGGTTTACCTACTTGATCTGTGCACTGATATTGCTCTGAGTGGTCATTTACCTCCTCTTTGGTGGTGCCCCGCCAACGCTTTCTGCTCCTTCTTTCTCCAGGTACCCCCTAGCAAGCTGAGTGCTAAGGGGGCATCCATGCATGCGCATTTCCAAGCCACGTTGTGTGCAGCCATAAACATACAAAGCACTGATAAGCAATGCCCCTGGTCCCTCATCACAGGAGTCTGACTGAGAACAGCAGGAGGCTATGGGGGAAATTTACTAAAACTGGTGCACTCAGAAGCGGGTGCAGCTGTGCATAGTAACCAATCAGCTTCTAACTTCAGCTTGTTCAATTAACCTTAGGCAATAATACCTGGAAGCTAACTGTCTTCTGGCTTATGCAGAGTTGCACCAGATTTTGCACTGGTTTTAGTTAATAACCCCATATGTCTCCCGCTGCTGCCTGTGTCTCCTGTGAAACCAGGAAGACAGGAGCTCGAGCAGTGCTGCAGACAGGGACAGCGCTGGATCAGTGACAGCAGTCTAGAAAATGTTGGGGGGGGGGGGTTAAAAGAGAGAGGGGAGTTTTTTTACCTTAATGCAGAGAATGCAGTAGGGTAAAAAAAAATCCATTTTGACTTTATAACCACTTTAACCACTTGCCTACTGGGCACTTATACCCCCTTCCTGCCCAGGCCAATTTCTAGCTTTCAGCGCTGTCACACTTTGAATGACAATTGCGCGGTCATGCAACACTGTACCCATATGAAATTTGTATTCTTTTTTGAGACACATAGAGCTTTCTTTTGGTGCTATTTAATCACCTCTGGGATTTTTTTTTTTTCTTAAACAAACCAAAAACCACTGAAAATTTTGAAAAAAAAAAAAAAAACGTTTTTTCTTAGTTTTTGTTTTACAAATTTGTAAATAAGTGATTTTTCTCCTTCACTGATGTGCACTAATGAGGCTGCAGTGATGGGCACTGATAGGTGGCACTGATGGGCACTGATGAAGAGGCACTGGTAGGTTGCACTGATGGGCATTGACAGGCATCACTGATGGGCACTGATACATGACACTGATATATGGCACTGATATATGGCACTGATAGGCAACACTGACTGGCACTGTTAGGAGGCACTGAATGGCACTGTTAGGCAGCACTGAATGGCACTGTTAGGCGGCATTGACTGGCACTGTTAGGCGGCAATGACTGGCACTGATAGGCGGCACTGACTGGCACTGATGCGCTCTGATAGGCGGCACTGACTGGCACTGATAGGTGGCACTGATTGGCAGCACTGATAGGTGGCACTGGTTGGCATTGATAGGTGGCACTGACTGGCAATGATGGGTGACATTAAAAGGCAGCTCAGATGGGCACTGATATGTGGCATTGATGTGCACTGGTAGGCACTGATATGTGGCATTGATGTGGCACTGATGGGCACTGGCACGTGGCACTGATGGGCACTGGCACTGATGAGCACTGACAGGTGGCACTTCTGGGGCCACGCTAATCATCAGGGCACACTGATCATCAGTGCCCTGATGATCAGTGTACATGTCCCCTCCGCGGAAAGCCGATTACCAGCTCTCCTCTCGAGCTGTCAGCGTAACAGCTTGAGAGGAGAGAAATGCCGATAACCGGCATTTCCGTGTTTACATGTGATCAGCTATGATTGGACACAGCTGATCACATGACCGAGCCGACACAGCAGACCGGCAATCGCCGCGCTGCGTGCTCCCTAAGCCGCGCATGCGCAGTGAGAATGGTAGGACATCATATGACGTCCTATCAGAACGAGAGAACCACCTTGCGCCCGTCATTGTACTATAGGCGGGCGGAAGGTGGTTAAATGTATTCTTTAATATGAACCATCTAATCTACCTGAATTTGTCCTTGTGTCTGCTTTTTGCAGTTGCTGTAGAACAGGGCTGGATTGTGAGAGGAGAGAGAAGAGAGCAGAGTGACTGAGATGAGCTAATCACTGTGCTGCTTCTCTTCCACTGTCCAATCACAGACTGGGGTCAGATTTAGGACAACCTGGGTTCAAAGGACATCGGTTAACCACTTCAAGTCTGGACACTTTCACCCCCTTCCTGTCCAGGCCATTTTTCAGCTTTCAGTGCTATCACACCTTTAAGGACAATTGCGTGGTCATGCAACACTGTACCCATATGAATTTTTTAGCATTTTTTGAGACAGATAAAACTTTATTTTAGTGGTATTTATTCACCACTGGCATTTTTATTTGTTTTTCATATATAATTGAAAATGTCCAAAACTTTGTAAAAAAAAAGTGTTTTTCTTATAAAATTTTGCAAATAAATAATCTTTCTTCATAAATCTTGGCCAACATTTATTCAATTATCTTTTTAGTAAAAAAAAAAAAACATAACCCAAATTAGTTTCTAGCTAAAAATTATAATTTTTCTAAATTTTTTCTCACATTTTTATTTTTTTTTTTGTTATATTATTATTTATGTTTTGTTTGTTTTTTCAACATACCGTTACCCTAGCAGTACAGACACTGTACTACTTGTAGGAGGTGATGAAGATTTTTTTTTTTTTTTACACTGCTTTTACACCCATAAAGGCTGTAAAAGTACTCATTTCTCCTTCTCTCTGGCTGCATTCTTGCAGCCATTGAGAAATACTGTGTGAGCTGTGATTGGTCACAGCTTGTCACATGGTACAAGGCTGTTGTGAGTAACCTTGTACCATGTGACCTCTGTGATCACTCACAGATTTCACTAGTAGTAAGCAATGATGTCAGGAAGTGACATCTTGCTTACTACTCTTCATGTGATCACTGATTGGCCAATCAGTGATCACATGATCAGGACCTCACACAGAGGTCCCGTACAACGATCGGTGTTCTGCTGTGTCCTCCGGACACAGCGGGCACCGGATTGCAGTGCTGCGCACTCCCAGGGAGCGCACACAAGCAGGGAGCAGAGAGGATGTATATAAATGGCCACCCACCCCTGCACTGCTCCCATCCAGCCATTTATATACATGGACCAGATGGGAAGTGGTTAAATTATACTGGCTACAGATTGAGGATAGTTATGTACTGCTAGGGGAAATCTCTGGATTGAAGGTAAACATTGCGGCAAAAGAGGATTTGGTTATTTTATCTTTCATGGACTATTAGTTTTATAATTTTATATTGGCCAGAGTTCTGTTTTAAAGAGTATGTACAGTCAAACGTATTTTATTGGATAGAGAGGGGAAGGGTTAGAACTATTCTGGCCTTGTTAGAGAGATTTCTACTCACTCCCTGTTCTGCTGACAATGTTTTACCACATAGAAAGTGAGGGAAACTCTCCAACAGAAACAAAGACAGAAATAAAAATGCTTTTTTTTTTTTTACCACAGTAGGGTAAGGATAGAACCCCTGTCAGATATTTATTTCTCAGGAAAGTGCATAAGAGGAGCTTGAACTCTGTGGTTTCTTTATACGTTTTTTTTTAACATTATTGTTGCCATTCATTTATATGGGGGAAGGGGTGTAAATAAAAACAATGTGACTATTGGATTCTTTCTTGGATACACAGAATATAACTGGATACTAACATTTGTAGGTAAAGTTGATCCAGGGAATATCCAATTGTCTCTCGGGGGATAAGGAAGGAATTTTTTTCCCCTGCAGGAGCAAATTGGATCATGCTTTGCTGGGGGTTTTTTTTTGCCTTCCTCTGGATCAACTGTGGGTGTAGGATTATAGCCTTTTTTTTTAATGGTTGAACTGGATGGACTTTTGTCTTTTTTTCAGCCAAACTAACTATGTAACTATTGGGCTGGCAGCTTATGCACATCAAAAGGCTTCCATGGCCACCTTGGGTTGTGCTAGAGATGAATGAATTTTAAATCTAAGCACCACACTGTGATATTCAAGTTCAAAACCAAATGTATTCCAGTGATAGGTTGTCTGAAAAGCCATTGCCTTTCTGGGGACTGTAACGCCACCGCCTTAATCAGGACTTAAAAGAATGAATCAGTGATACAATGTATGTGGACTCATTAATCAGTATACAGTTGGATGTTGTTGGAATGCTTGGGATTAGCACAGCATCCATCACCAGCTGGTTCAAGCAGATATTAATATCTATGAATCTGTTGCACATAAGCAAGTTCACATTTCAATTGTATATTTAGTTGCTTGCCTGAAATTCTGATTCAAAATGAAAATATCTTTATACAAGTTACCTCCAGTTTGTATTCCTATACGCTATGCCACTAAGTAACAGTTTGAGAAGTCAAAGCCTTGACATGCTCTTCACTGTATTATTAGTAGCATGCTGAACATTACCCAGTTCTGCTTCGCCTATCTAAGCACTGCAAGTGTGATCTCAATAACTGATCCAGTTATGGCAAGATAGCTGCAATTTACAGTCTCAGTAAAATTAGTAGACAGTGACTTGATCCAAATGACATCTTGCAGATCATAGAAAGCTTTAATTTTCACAGATGAACATCAGATAGATTAAAAAAACAAAACAAAAAAAAAACATAGTATGTCTAGCTTGAGGAATTACATGTGCTCATAACAGATTCTAAAGACACACTGAAAAGTGAGTAAGACTAGCTATATAGAACATCTCTTCGCTACAGAGGAAGGAAGGGACACAATTATTTAAAGGCAAACAAACATTGCATGTGTAACATGATATTAACCTTCCCTCCATCCCTTACCTACAGTGCCATAGCCACATCCATTCTCTAAATCCAAAGTCTTCTTGTCTGCTGATCTTGGACCATCCACCTCTAGATGTTATGTACTGAAGACTGCAATGTTGGAACTGGCTTCACTGATATGTGAACTTTCACATGTAATGTGCCCTGCAGGAACCTCTGTCCATGCCAGAGATAGATAAAGTTGAGGAAAGTGAAAAGCCAGCACCGGACTCACAGGTACACTCCACTGGTATTGTTATCTTAAGATATTATGTTGGTGTAAATTATCTGGTTCCCGGGCAGGCGGCTTCTACACCCCAGAGGATCTCCACAGTCTCCCTGGCTTGTAGTGTATTGTAAGAAAAGTTGAAATTGAAGCATCACACCACTGTTAAGAGGTCCAGATACAACTTTATTCCATTAAAGGTCAGGGGTATAATTTGAGAAGTATCCAATGCATTTTGGGGGTTCAAGTTCCCCCCCTTCATCAGGGCTTGACTGGCAATAAAGTGAACAGACCATGAGTGAACTGGACCTACCTTGGCATTTATTCAAGTGTGAATTGAAAACAAAGGCCTAATCAACAGCTTGTTTGGCAGCCTTTGATAAAGGTCTCCGACAGTTAGCAAAGTGGAGTATGGGGGTGAAGCCCATATAAAACAACCCTTACAATTAAAAGATGTGCTTTACTTTTTCTACAGCAGTATATTTAAAAGCATACTTTAGAGGAATATACAGTAAATAATACAATTTTGAGTGACTGTATATTGATATTTGTCACGGAGCTGGCCCTTCCTCCCCCATCCTCTAGGCTTGCTGCCTGACACCCCCCCACCCCTCAGCAGCCCCTCACTCTTCTTTTCCATCCATGCTGGGACTTCTAGTCCTCCGAGTCCCTGACACAGGCAGCTCTCAGCAGCCCCTCACCCCCCTGCTGAGGGAATCCACAAACAGGCCCCTACCCCCTCCCTTCCCCCTCTGCACATCTTCCCGGGCTCCATGCCGGACAGGGACAAAGGCCGTGTTCCCTGGGCAGGTCCAGAGACCTGGGGGACAGAGCCCATTGACATGGTAACCCGACAGGAAGTCTCAGGCTACCACTGCAGCAGCAAGGCGCCCAGCCCTGTACTTAAGAGCGAGCAGGGCAACCCCCCCTTCTGTTCCCTTGGCTGCCTGTGTGAGGGAAGACTGTGCTGCAGTGCCAGTTTCTCTCATACGACCATCCCCCGGGCCCCTTCTCCTCTCCCTGACTGACCTGACTGCCAGTCTGATGCTGGATCCCTCTTTTGTGTGGGGTGAACTCTCTGCTGCCTGGAATCCCTTCCCTGCCTGGATTTAACCTCTTGTTCCCTGTGAGCTTGCGGGTTGGACACCTTCCCTGCCTGGATTTAACTCTTTGTTGCCCGTGAGCCGAACAGACTTAACCCTTCCCTGCCTGGAGCTACCTGTGCGGATTAACCTTGTGTTGCCTGTGTGGACTGTAACCATCTGTGTCCGGCTCCCCGCATCCAGTAAGTGGACTAACCCCGTGCTGCCCAATAGAATGAGCCCAATTCTCCCCATGAACCCGAAGTCCCACAAAACCACCCCGCCCTTGCCTTACTGAACCCTGTGGATTATCATCCCCCTGTTGTTCCATATTGCCTTCCAGAGAACTTTACTGTGTTGCCGTGTCTGGTGTGGATCTGTGGACTAAAGGAACTGTTGTCTGTGCCCCAAAAACCTCCCCAATAAATGCCCGCAAGTCGGGTTCCGTGCAATCTGTCTCTATGTGCTCTCTGGTTCGCTTGACAATATTGTTGTGCAGAAAACAAGAATCAAAATAACAAAGTTAAAAGAGTGAAAAAGAGTTATATTTTTACTGTAATAAAACACTGTATATACTGTATATTTATATAACGGGACATTCTTAACAAAGACTGCCTTGAGTTGTTTCCCTCTAGTGTTCAGCTTTTTTGACTGCAACATTGTGCCCTGGAAGCATCAGAAGGACTGCTACTGAGAGCAATAGATTGTGGGACATGTAGTCCTGAG